GATCAATTTTTTATCGGGTGTAAAAGATTATCGGTTTTGACAGGATCAGTTTTGGGAGGGCATATTGTATTTTTAAATTTTAATTAGTTTTCTAGTTTTTAGTTTTGATTAATATTTTAGAAAGCATAATTTTAAATTTAGGATATTGTTATATAGTACATTATGCATTTGGTATATTTTGTTGTATTTTAAAATTGACTATTGTTAACTTGCTTCGAGGTGATATCGCCTAGTTATATGTAAAATCAATCAGATTGCTGGATCTTGTATACTAAAACAAACCAAAGAAATAAATAAAAAAAAAAACTCAAAATTTTATTATGAAAACTATGCTTCAACTTCTAAGCAAAAGTTTTAACATTAAATTTTATATGTAAACAATACTTTTTACTTTAATTTAAAGTTAACTTTAATTTATAATCTTAATAAATACTGGGTGATATTAGCATAAAAAAAATCTGTGCTCGGTTTTTAATCACATGATGATGATCACATATATATACCGGTTTTATACTGGTTTTGTACTGGTTTTGTGTAATACTTAATTACAGAATTATTATAGATATTAATTAGACAAATGCATTTAAAAATTTATTTAACTATCACTATTAAGAGATAATTACATTTGCAAATTGCAGTTTACTATTGCTATATTATCAACTTTGGTGTCTGTGCTATGTGCTATTATTGATAATCATAAAATCTTTAAGTGCCATTTAGGCAGTTTTCAATTAAAGCTTTGTTTAAATTATGCAGACATTTTTTTTGCAGTCTTTTTGATAGTGTAGGCATTATAAATCGAGTTGGTTCTTTATTTTCATACATATCAGTACCTTGTGCCTAGTTTTCTTGTTCCACCATTTTTTGTTTTTTATTTGATTTTTTGCACCTAGCACTTGAAGCAACTTGAACCTTAATTCGGTTACCTTCACGTTGATAGCCATGACTATTTATATGCTTTGTATTTCAATCACATGTTTGAAAAAAAAGGTAACTGCCAGATAGATATGAGTATCTTGTACTAAATAGTGCTTCTTATAAGCATTAACAAATTTTCAGATACTTTTATCAAATATAGGATCATTTTTTTTAAGAAGACTTTCTAAATCATTATAAAACTATCGAAGCTCATCTATAGTCAATTGGTGAAGGTCTTTATCAGCTTCATTATTACTAATATTACCATTTATATTGCTATTATCTCTATTTTCTTCATCGTTATTTTCTTCATCGCTATTTTCTTCATCGCTACTTTCTTCATCATTACTTTCTTCATTACTACTTTCTTTATTACTACTTTCTTCATTGCTACTTTTTTCATTGCTACTTTCTTTATTGCTACTTTCTTTATTGCTACTTTCTTCATTGCTACTTTCTTCATTACTATTTTCTTTATCATTACTATTATTATCACAAATACTTTTTACTTCACAAATAATCTCATTACTTGAAAATTGTAGGAGTACAAAAGCTGAAGATTTAGCCAATATATTTTTTTATCATTGAAATTTTGAAAATTGTTTTTACAGCCTTCATTCATAATGTTATCAGCTGAATTATTGTTCTTCAAGATTGTAAATTCTGCTAAATATAAAAACTCATCTTGATTAAATTTTTCTTGATGTAGGTCTGCATAAAAGCTTAATTCTTTATATTTTTCTCCCAATGCCAAATAGTCATAATAATATCTACACGGGTTTGGGCTCTATAGCTTAGCGGTTAAGCTGCCAAACTCCCACAGACTAGGTCGACAGTTTGAGTCAAGCTGGAGGCAAAATCTTAGGATTTTTAGCTTCTGTAATCCAATAAAGGGGGCCATAATCGAATGCGGAGTCCTGTGGTTAAAGTCTAAATGCAAGTACGAAACTAAAAAAGGAAATTCCTGGAAGGAGGTCCAATCGTGGAGTGGTGGCACTATGTATAACATGTCATAGAAGGTTTTGTTACACGAAGGTTACGCATGTTAGTCCTCGATTAGGGGTGACCAGGCAGCATCAACATCTCCAGTGGTTGGGGTACTTGATTGGGAAAGTGACACGACGGTAACAAAACTGGAGTAGTGAGAAAATTGGTGAACACGAGGACGACTTGTGGTAAAGGATTGGTCTATCTGGAGTTCAGAAGCACCTCTGACCCCAAGCCACTTGGTCTATTAAGGAAGAAACCTGTAAGAACAGAGTGAGAAGGCTGAAACTCGGGGTACATGATAAAAACTCGAAATGGCTGGATTCACCGAGCTGGTAGTATAATTGTACAAATCGGGCTTGTATACCAGAAATTAATAAGGAATACCAAACACTGAAATTGGAAGTATTATGAACCACAAGCCGCAACTAGGTCTAGACCTCTAGAGCCTTGTAACCTAAAAATGTCAAGGCACCGAAACATCATAGCTCAAACTATGGAAGAGAAGTAATATGAAACCCACAATCTGGAAGTTATTAGGTAACCTATAACACAATATGGTGAGCCTGCACCAACACACAGGAGTACCTACCTATAAGGTAATGGGAATCAGCAGCATATTAACTAAACTAAGCATTAATGACGAGGCTTAACCTAGGCTAGCATGAGTTCCTCTTCATGAAACTATCTGAGCAGACTAGCTGAAGATAACCAAGATTGGAAGTAGCCCTTGAGGCTATGAGGCCATATCCCAGAAGGGATTACCAAATTTGGGAGCTTAGATATAAGTAGTATGAGAGATGCGGGGAATGACGTCATAGGGAAGTGTACCAAAATAG